TTCCTTCCTTCCTTCCTTCCTTCCTTCCTTCCTTCCTTCCTTCCTTCCTTCCTTCCTTTTCTCTCTCTCTCTCTCTTCCTTCCTTCCTTCCTTCCTTCCTTTCTTTTCAGGGAACGGTACAAGTTTCATATAATGATGACAACTAGCCAGCCAAAAGATAACCATATTAGACAGATGTAGTCTATCTGGGCATTTTGAGACAGGGCCTTGTGTAGTTCAGGCTAGCTTCTAACTTACTATGTACATTGTAGAGAATGACACTGAACTCCTGCTGTTTCTTCATTAACCTTCTAAGTGCTGGTGTTACAGGTGTATGCCACCATACCTGGTTTCTGTAGTCCCAAGGATCAAATCCAGGGTCTGTGTTCTAACTATATCCTCAGTTCCATTTTTCAAGGTAGATAAACGATGAGGAAGCAGTGACGTGGGAGCCCAAAGCTATATGGCTGTTTTGTGGATTAAAAGAATCAGTGATTAACTCTGAGTCACCAATGCTGCATTTGTGTTGTATTAAATAAGGAAGGAACTAAAAGCACTTCCCCTTGGAGTCATTTAACCAAAACCAAGTCCAGATCAACCAAGAGAAGTCTCAAGGGACCTCAAGATGTGTTCTTAACTGGGAGGTGCTGCGAAAGTTCCAGTTTCTTAGGATGTAAGAGATTTTTAGAACATCGCATCACCATTGGTAAGTGATAAGCCAGGATTTGACTCTAGAATTTAACGAATGTTACTACAGTTAATAAAATTCATGTTCAGCAAAGCTTCAGGTACAGATCAAAACCACATATGTAAACTGAGTGTGTGGTGCACACCTGTAAGCCTAGCACTCAAGTGTTAGAGGAAGGATTAGAAGTTCAGGGTCGTCTTAGCACTACATAAGAAGTTGAAGGGGCTGAAAATATGGCTCAGTGGTTAAGAGTACTTGTTTCTCTTCCAGAAAGCTCAGATTCGTGCCAGCCAGCCAGCCTGGAAAAAGTGAGACCCTGTCTAAAAAAATTAAAGGAACAATTGAATAGGAGAAAACAAGTAACAGGCCAGGAGCCTACCGAAGGGGGCCTCTGAAAGACTCTACCACATGGGGCCTCTGAAAGACTCTACCCAGCAAGATATCAAGGCAGATGCTGAGATTCATAACCAAACCTTTGGCAGAGTGCAGGGAATCATATGAAAGAAGGAGGAGTTAGTATGACCTGGAGAGGACAGGAGCTCCACAAGGATGAAATATATCTGGGCACAGGGGTCTTTTCTGAGACTGTATCTTCAATCAAGGACCATGTATGGATATAACCTAGAACCCCTGCTTGGATGTAGCCCATGGTAGATCAGTATCCAAGTGGTTTTCCTAGTAAGGGGAACAGGGACTATTTCTCACATGAACTCAATGGCTGGCTCTTTGGTCCCCCCCACACAAGGGAGGAGCAGCCTTGCTAGGCCACAGAGGACATTGCAGCCAGTCCTGAAGATACCTGATAAGCTAGGGTCAGATGGAAGGGGAGGAAGACCTCCCCTATCAGTGGACTTAGAGAGGAGCAGGAAGGAGATGATCAAGGGAGGGTGGGATTGGGAGAGAATGAGGGATAGGGCTACAGCTGGGATACAAAGTTAATAAACCATTAACTAATATTAAAAATTAAAAAAAGAACAGTTGAATCTATTTTATGTCTACTCATTATTAGTAATGGACATGACACATTGAACACACTGGACTCATCATTAATAAACAATCTGAACAGAGACAGAGGGTTTTTTTGTTGTTGTTTGTTTGTTTTTAGATAGGGTCTCAGCTGTAACCCAAGCTGTCCTAGAATTTGCTATGGAAACCAGATTGGCTTTGAACTCAGAGAGCTACTGCCTCTGCCTCGCCTCCTGAGTGCTAAGGTTAAAGGGGTGCATCAACACATCTGGCTGAACAGAATCTAAAAAATAATTTCTAATAGCATTAAAAGATCCACTTGCACAAGCTGGGCATGATGGCGCACTCCTTTAATCCCAGCACTTGTGAGGCAGAGGCAGACAGATCTCTGTGAGTTCAAGGCCAGCCTGGTCTGCCAACTGAGCTCCAGGAAAGTCGGAGCTGTTACAAAGAGAAACCCTGTCTGGGGTAGAGGTATGGGAGTGGGAGGGTGGAGACTTGTTCCAAGGAACTCAACACCCTAATCAGCAGGAAATGGTCTAAAGAGATCTATGCCCTCTTTCCCCTCTTATCCTTCTTACTCTTCTACCTAGTGTTGGGGGGTTGGAAGGAATTGGGGCAGAGAAGGGTAGTAGGTAAAAGAAGCCAATAAAGCAGCCAAAAGCCCAGCTACAGTCCAAGATTAGGTTCTCACAGATGGAAAAGGACCCAGTGGGCCATTATGACACTAAAATGTAATTCCTCACCACCAGGCTCCTCTGAGTATACTGACATGAACAATAGTAGTGCTGAAATGGATCACAGCCCAGAAAAAAAAAAATGCTAGCCTGGTTAGGCTTTAGCCTTCAGCTACTGTGTAAGCCTTCAATGCAGATAGACCTCTCTGAGTTCAAACCTGGGGCAGCTCCAGAGACATAGGAACATGAATAGTCATTTCACCCTAAGCCAGTTTTTCTCTGCTGTAAAAATGGAGGAAGCATAGCTGCCTAAGGCAGGAGGATCTATAAACTGAGACTTCTCAACCCACCTCATCCATAGAAACAAACACAAAGAGAAAGGAGCCTGATGCAATTAAATAGACCAAAAAAGTGAAATTATGATTAATTCAGGGCCTTACCTAACGAAAAAGCTTAAAGTCTGCTCTGGTCAGAGGCTATTGAACACATGAGGACAGAATCGGGGTAGAGACAAGAACAGAGTTCCTGTGGAGCGTGGCAACTACACCTTCTCTGGAGAGGGGTTTTCTTAGCTTGTTTCACCAGCCTGCTCAGTAAGAATGCCCTTAAAATAACTTGGATCCCTTGGGTTTGCAGAGAAAATAGCCAAGGGCAGGCTGTGAAGAAAGTGAGCGCATGTAGTGAACACCTATAATCCCAGTACTTTCGAGGTAGAGGTGAGAGGTCAGGAGTTCACGATCATTCTCAGCTATAGCAAGCTCAAGAAAAGAGACCAAGAATATGGAGGCTAGTAAAAAAACAAGACAAGGCTGGCACACCTTTAATCCCAGCACTTGGGAGGCAGGGATAAGGGGATCTCTGTAAGTCAGGGATCTGGTCAGCCTGGTCTACAGAGTCCCAGGAGAGCCAAGGCTACCCAGAGAAAACCCTGTCTCAAAAAACCTAAAAAACAAAACAAACAAAAACAAAAGAAAGGAAGACAAACAGAGAGACAGACCAACCGGGACGGTTCCCTGGTTAGTTATTTTATGTAAACTTGACACAAGCTAGAGTCATCAGAGAGGACGGAAACTCAACTGAGAGATGCCTCCAGGAGACTGGACTGTAGACAGGAAAGCCTGTAGGAGATTTTTTTAAATTAGTGATTGATATGGACACACCCAGCCCATCATGGGGGAGGCCATCCCTGGGCTGGTGGTCCTAGGTTCTATAGAAAAGCAGGCTGAGCAAGTCAGAAAGAGCGAGCCAGTAAGCAGCACCCCAACACACACACGGGCTCTGCATCAGCTCTGCTTCCAGGTTCCTGCCCTGTTTGATTTGCTGCTCTGATTTTCAATGGTATGCACTGATGTAGAAGTGTAAGGCAAATACGCTCTCGCTCCCTAATTTGTTTTTAGTCACAATGCTGCTTCACAGCAATAGAAGCCCTAAGGCAGATGGGCTAAGGGGCGCAGCGCAGTGGTACTTGCCTAGCAAGCATGCCATCCTGTATTGGATCCCCAGAACTGCAGTAAATAAAGGAGGGAGCATGGATGGGGTTTCCTGGTTCAGGGCACGTGCTGGCAGGGCCTGCAGCTTGGGGTGTGGCCCAGCTCACTAACTGCAGAACTACGGCCAATTCAGAGACTATAACAGTTTGCGGTCTTTCCCTTTCTGCCTACCCTAGGCATGGATGGCTCAGGGGCTGCACTGTCCCGAGTTTCTCATTTGCTCTACTACCTTTCTTCATAAGGCCAAAAGATTCCTTTGTTCTGCTTCTCTTTGAAAGAAGAAACCCTCTTCTGGTGGGGACAAGCTGTACCTAGCGAACAGAGCCCCTCCAGCACTCTTGGCAGCACATCCCTGCTTCTTTCTAGAGGTGAGCTTTTGTGCTGAGTCAGTTTGGCCCCCTTCCAGCCAAGACCAGCGTGGTGGCTGCAATGCAGGGGCCATTAAAGGAACTATTTTAAGCCCCTGTTTTAATCCTATTCAGCACAAGCAGTGAGATACAGGCCTGAAAGTAGCCAGACCAAGAAGATGCCAGCAGGGACAAAGTCCCAGGCAACCAGGTCAGGAAAAAGACAAGAGCTTATCGTGTGCAGGAAAAAAAGCACCCAGATGCTCAAGCTGCATGAGACAGCAGAGAAGGAAGCTGCTTAAAAAACCTGTTTCTCCTGTGCTCTGTATCACCAAGAAAAACGAGGAATGAGAAGGAACAAAAGTTTAATGCTTCAAAAAAAGGCTAGGATAGTGCATTTGGGGAGCTTGTTAAAAATACACTTCTTTGGCCCATCTTATGTCAGCTGAGTCAGAGGATTTGTAGCAGGGCTTGGGAAAGTGCTTTTGGGATTAGCTTTCAGGTAGTGCTTACCTCTGTCAGAGGAATGAGGCAGTGTGGGGTGAAAGGTATTGAATGTTAGTTTAAGGATAACATTCCCCTTTTGTTGGGGCAGAGAGCAGAGATTTTTAGACAAGTGTCCAAAAATACTCAGGACAGGGAGGGCTATTCTTTTTGTGTGCTGAGGACTGGACCCCTGGCCTTTGGTATACCAGGTAAGTGTTCTACACTGAGCTTCACTCCTAGACCCTAGAGGAGATAGTTTTGCAAACATTTTCCTAACCTTTTGAGAGTCAAAACATTTGAGACAGGGTCTTACTGTGAAGCCCTGGTTGGCCTGGAACTCAGAGAGATCTGCCTGTCCTCACCTCTGAAGTCCTGGAAGTAAAGATGTTTATCAAGTCACTGTCAGAAAGATCCTCCAGTGTTATGTGATCTCACTCTGCTATTCAAAAGTGCTAATTATGTTTAACTTGCTTAGCTTCTGAGTACAGACGTGCTCGTGGGTGTCTAGGGCAGTGTGGCCAACAGACTGGCTTCGGTCTCTTGCTATGGCAAGGGTGTCGGCACTGACTACTGTTCTGCATGACTCTCCAACATGGGTCTCACTGTGTGGGTTACGACCTTTTACAAAGACTGACTCCAACTGCAGAGAGAAAGGTATCAGATTCACTAGTTAGGAAGGCACTAATTGAATCTTTGGCTTTTGAAAATGCTAACACTAAATTAAAAAAGGTGATCAGACCTTTAAATGCAAGATCAGCACCAGTAGATGAATTGAGTTAGAAACACAGTTGATATTAGATCTCATTCATATGACATGAACTTAATAGAAGTAATCTCTAAACATTTTGAAAAAGTCCAAACTCTCAAATGTCTTAATTGTGGTGAACAAGGTCATTCCAAAAAGAATTGTAAAACACACACACAAACACAAACCAACTAACCAACCAAACAAAACCTATCAAACTAATTCTAAAAAAGAGCCTAAGGTCTTCTGGAATATGCAAAAGATGTGGCTAAGGCCAACACTGGACTAACGAATGTAGATCAATAACAGATAAGTGGGGAGTTAGAACACCCTATTACAGTTTATGTAGTCCAGATGTTGGGGTGCACTGTGTTATGTCTCTGTGTATTCAGTTGTTGAATGCTAAACCGGCAGGCAGCTCACTGGACCTTGGAATTGTTTTCCTTATGGCCCATCACTGGCCTCATATTTTGTAAACATTCAGCTTCCTCACTTGTTTATTGGCTTTAATAAGGAGCTGATGACCAATGGCTGGGCAGTATGGGAAAGTGGAACTTCCAGACAGAAGGAGGGTCTCTGGCAGAATTCAGAGATGGGGGATTCAGCCAGCTGGCACAGGGGTGAAAGGACATGAACAGGAGAGAGATGTGAAGAACTAGCCGTAAGTCTGGTCATGGGCCAGAATAGTTAAGATGAGCTAGCTCAGAGTCTGCCCAGCTACAGCCTAAGCTTGTAAATATTAATAAGTCTCTGTGTCATTATTTAACCACTGGCAGGTCCAAGGAAGTCTTGCTCACATTGGGCACCAAATGGTGATGACGATTTATATTTTGGGGGGGGTGGCTTTTCTAATCACGTGCTCTAGTTTACCAATAAATGAGATGTACAAGGTTTATTAATAAGCTTTAAGCACCATAACTAGGCAGATACCCATTTACACTAATTTTCTATGCTAGTTTTGCTATTTCCCAGCCATATGTCCTGATTTACTTGCCACAGAGGTCCTGCCTAGGCTGTTTCTCAGTTCTTAATAACCACATCCTTTCTCTACCTCTTCTTTCTCTCCTCCTTTTTCTCCACTTACCTGAGACCCCAAGACCCAGAATGGAAGTCCTGCCTACTCCTCTCTTGCCCAGCTATAGGCTGTCCAGCTTTTTTATTAACCAGAGATAATTCGGGAGCGGAATTTATGCAACACTGATCAATGTATGTGACAATGCCCTTGTCTGGACTACACCCAGATCTCGGGGGCATTTGAATATAAGAGCACCAGACTAACGCCTAACACTGGGATACTGTGGAACCAGGAGGAGCTGGTTTGGAGCAGGAGGTTGAGCTGTGTCCAACTCAAGCTTAGGAGTGAGGACCATTCCCTCCCTTGCACTGGGCCTGCATGCCCTTGTGCAGGGGGCACGTAGTCCTGCACCCCCTACCCTTGCCTATACCAGAGGAGGTCAGGCAGCAGCAGCCATGTTAGACTTCCTCTCTCCTGTTAAGGTTATGTCCAGCAAGTACCTGGAATTCCTCTTTATGCAAATAAAGTATTCCCAGCATCTTAGCCCCAGCCAATGGTGTACACTCACCCCAAAAGCCTCTACCCACTCCCCAAAGGTTTAAATAGCCTTTGTTCCCCCAATTAAACAAGATGCTCAATGAAGCCTGCATCCAAGAGTCTGTTCTCGATGGGCTCACCCACTGCCTGAGGTTTCCGTCTTCCCCAGCCATTCCTGCCTTATGATCTAGCAGCCTCAGTTGTGGTCCTACTTCGAGGCTGGGAAGGGTAGGGAAGGAGAGCTGGAATGTTATCACTGACCATGAAAACTTGAAATATTTAGAATTATTCTCTGTGATATGTCTTCTATTTAATGTTGTTAGAATGTTAGGCACTTACAACATCCAACTGCCAAGTATTAGGGCATCAAGAGACAAAGACAAGTCTAGCAGAAGGAATGAAGGCTGAGAAAGGAATATTTGGATCTACTAACTTCAGTTTCTCCTGCAACCTCCCAATCAGTAGGGGTCCAGGATAAAAAGTACCAAGATATTTTGTCCCTATAAAATATCTTGGTACTTATTTTGTCCCTACAAGGCAGGGGTAGACAAGCAGGCGGCACCTCTTTAGAACCCACATTTCTTGGCCACCTTTACAAAGCTCATCCAGAAATAATCTTTATGTGGCCATGGTCCCACCTGCTCCTCCAGACTGCTCAAGGAGCTACAAAGGCTATTTGTTCAGGTGACATTTTAATCATCTGGTGTCTTTGGAAAATATCAAGAACTACACGTCCAGAGCAAAAAGCAGATCCCCAGGACCCAGGGCAGGGCTCTGAGGGAACAACAAGTAGAGAGGGAAGTCAGCGGTGGCTGAAGAATCCTTGAGGATGGTTATATTTAAATGGCTTCATCCTACTTGGGCCCCTAGAGAAACAAGAAAAGGGAGAGCAGTTAATAGCATGCCTTTGGACTGATAAAACAAGTTAATACAGTTCACTCACAAGAGAACGTCACATAGCTGGGGCAAAGTCAGAGGTGTGTAGCTCAGGCACAGGGCACTGTAGGAAAATCAGCTCACACCAGTGAAGGTGTGATACCATCTTTTAAAAAGTGTCTCTGTGTTTACAAATGTGTGAACCTGGAGAATCCCTTAATGTTGCATTTGGGGGACAGTGCCCAAACATCCTCACGCTTTGGATCATTATTTATAACTTTATCAACAACCACTTTATTTCTTAATTGCAAAGGAGGCAAGATTATGCTCAATAGTGCGTGGCCAGGAAGCAATAGAGGCAAAAACCAGGTCTGACACCAAAGCCTGTTTGTTCCAGGAAGGCTGAGTCATGAGCAGGCAGGCCAAGACCTATGTTCAAACTTCCTCCCTTCCTCTTTCACATAAAATCTATGTGAAGATTTTATTAGTAATTCTGTGTCCTCAAGCAAAACCTCACAGAGGAACATCCTCCACACAACTTTACAAAGACAAACATCTACAAAAAGCGCTCCTTCTTCCTCCATCTGTCTATGAATGACATCCAACAAGCAGTCACAGAGGGGCTCTCGGGGACTTGGTCTAAGGGAGTGTGTGTACAGGGTAGTTCTTTGTCAACTTAACACAAGCCAGAGTCAAATGGGAAGTGGAGTGAGGAAGGCATGGAGAGCAAGCCAGGGAGCAGCAGCCCTCCATGGTCTCTGCTTCAGCTCCTGCCCTGCCTTCTCTTCATGAAGGGCTATAACTGTAAACTGAGGTAAACCCTTTTCTCTCCAAGTAGCTTTTGGCCATGCTGTTTGTCACAATAAGAAAGTAAATAAGACAACATGTGAATAGGCAGCAGGAGGTGGAAAGAGGTAAGGAAAGTTTTTACTTTTCACCAGTGGCTGAAGGATATTAAAACCTTCTTTTCCTCAGTGGCCGAGAGCTTATCTAGCCTGCATTGTGCCGGCACTTCTCAACCTCAATTTAATCTTTCCATAACATATGAAGTATGTGCTGCTTGGAGGTTGAATTACAGTGACCCCTTATCTCATAGGTGGGAGCTGGAACTGAATCTCAACCTGGGATCATTCATAGCTTATGCCTCCAGGAGGTTCCTCAGAGGGGTACACCTACGCAGGATGTCTTAGTCTAAGCTGAGCTCAGGTCTACCATTGCTCACACTGGCACCCCAAACTCAGCCTCTTAACGATCCTAACCCCAGTAGTCAGCTGGGCTCTAGGCCAGGAACCTATAGTCCACCCATTGGTTATGTAAGATCCTCCCAGAGCGCAACACTTCAGGAAGCGGGTCTTCTGAGACCCCTTAAGAGAAAACAAGCAGAGGCTGTGTGTGGGCTCCCACCCTGCAAATGTGCTGGAGTAGGTGAGGAGGTGGGAGGAGCTGAGACATCACACACACCCACTGCAGAGAACAGGACTCAGAATGGAGTGTGGCAGTCAGCTCTGCTTCCCTGTGGCCACGTGGGGATGGGGGTTATTATTATCAACACCATGAACCAGGGCAGTGGAGGGGCCAGGCAAGAACAAGGCTTCTAACTTTCTGTAAGTCAGAACTGGCTATGCAGGTTTTGTTTTTTCTTTAGCAGAAAAAAAGGCTGGCCTTGAACTCATGGGAATCCTCTTGTCTCCAGCTTCCAAGTGCTAAGATTATAGGCACGAGCCATGATATCAGGCCTGATAAATGATAAAGAATTATAATCCAAAGACATTCCTCACCCCTTGTCCAAAAGAGAAGGGAGACCTAGAAGTAATTCCTTAGGGTTTTAAAAGAATAAAAACGTACATTTGGGAACAAACAGGAAAGAAAGCCCTAATACCCAAGAAAATGTAATATTAGCCTGAGGTACTGCAAGCCCAGACACTCTGTATACAAGTTGCCAAGACCTGCTAGCATACTCCAAGCCCTGAACTTGGGGCAGAATCACTTGGGAGCTTTACCTGCACGAACTACCTGAGTCATCTTGAGCTCTAACTAAGAAGGCCTTACTCCCCGACTTCAGCCCTAGGACCAGGGCTCAGTGCTAGACAGAGTGCTGCTGTCATCAGTATGCTCAGCTGCCTGCTTTCTAGAAGAGCTGGTTTTTTGTTTGTTTTGGTTTGTTTTTTGGGTTTTTTTTTTTTTTTTTTTTTTTTTTTTTTTGTCTATGCTTCCTGACTGCCATGTCTTGAATCTCACCAAGGGAAGACACTCAAAGATGCCAGCAAACTCACTAGGGAGAGTGGGGATGCACTTGTATATTAAAAGTAAACAGGCCCTGCTGTTTACTGTCCCATAGAAAACACTCAAAATTCCGCCAAAGCTTTTTAGCATGGCTCAGGACAATTTCCTTGGTTGAGTGAGCTTCTCCAGGGATGACCAAGCCTGACAGGTAAGCCAGCTGCAGGGAAGTCTCAGGAAGGAAAAAAAAGTTCCTGGAAATCTGATAATAGAATTTTCTGCTACAAAAAGTTACAGATGCCTCTGTGCCAAGCCCTGTCCAATGAGACCTAGTCTTCTAGAGGGCTGTGATGGATGTTCACGTCCTCATGAGGAGTCATGCGAGCCCAGCCCTCTACTCACCTAAAAAGCCGCAGGCACATCTTCTCCTGAGGAAATTCCTTGGGGCCCTCTACGCTGTCATCATGGCTCTCTGTCTCTAGGTAGACATCCAGCAGCACACACAGCCTCTGCAGCTGGTTGGTTAAGAGCTGGTGGCTGGGCCGAGGACCACACAGCTCCTTGTAGCACACGTTGACCTCACTCTCCATAGCCTGTGTGGGTGGGAAGCCAGCACCTCAGCATTTGCTTCCTAGTATGGCTGGACACACTGGCCAGCCTTTTACTTCATGGCTGAGCCTGACGGCACCACAAGAGCTACAAGGGGCTCGACCTGTTCCTCCTGATACCCATGTGGGCCTTACCCGAATATTGTCATCATTGCTGTTGGTTTTCTCCCCTTTCCAGTTTAGACAGAGTCGGAAAATGGGTGGGATGGAAGAGTAGCCAGGGTTGAGCACCACCGCAGCTTGAAGTTTAGCTGAGAAGAGGGAACAGGCAGAAAGTCAGTGGTTACTCAGTGTTCCATATGGTCTCCACCCTGTTCAGAGCCAACACAAACGTCTCCTATTAATTTAAGTGCTGCCAAGCCTCTGGTACTAACTGTTTTAGAATCTAAGTAGAATGTAGAAAGGCCAGCTTGCTGATTGTAAGGTACAGGGATTCTGGTTCCTCTAAAGATCTTGTTCTACTTGCTGGGATTTATCAATGGATTAAATCTGCTACCTTGAGACATGTCATAATTAAAAATATTTGTGTGTGTGTGTGTGTGTGTGTGTGTGATGTTTCTGTGTTTGGTTGTTTAGCCTCTATGTATCTTTGCGCCAACATGTAGGCAGTGCCTTCGGAAGCCAGAAGAAGGCACTGGAGCCCTGGGACTGGAGTTACAGGTGGCTGTGAGCTGCCATGTGGGTGTGGGGGCTTGAACTCAGGTCCTCTGGATGTGCAGGCAGTGCTTCTAAACTGAGCCACCTCTCCAGTCCCTTTCTTTCTTTCTTTTCTTTTTTTTTTTTTTAAAGAATTTTTTTGTTGCTATGGAGAGAGCGTCACATTGCCCAAGCTAGCTTCAAATTCAATATATAACCAAGGCACAACTTTGAACTCCTAGTTCTCCTGTTTCTGACTCCCATCCAGGACTAGTGGCAAATGTTCCCAGCTTCTCACACCCAATTTACATATGAGGAAAGTGAGGCTCTGACAGAAACTTCTCTACTATTAAACACCTGCAACCAAAACTGCCTGGCATCAAATCTGCACTCATAGTGAGTAAACAAAATAGCTCCACATATTAACTTTCCCTCTGGCGGTAGTCTTTGACCCCTGCTGTTGTTACACTTTATTTAGGTATGGTGTGTGTGTGTGTGTGTGTGTGTGTGTGTGTGTGTGTGTGTGTGTGCGTGTAGGTGCATGTCACAGCATGCATGGGTCAGTGGACTATTTCTTAGGAGCCACTTCTTTCGTTCCACACTCTGTTTTAAGGCAGGGTATCTTTTCCGCAGCTATGGTACTTATTAGAGCTTCCAGAATGCTCTATCTCTGGCTCCCTTCTTACCCCAGGAGTGCTGGGATTACAGATACACACCACTCCATTCAGCTTCCTTATGTGGGCTCTGGGAACTGAGTCAGGTCATGAGGCTCAGGAGGCTATGCAGCAAGTGAGCCCTCTCCATGGTTCCTAGACGACTTTTGACTGGTACTTCTGGTTTGGCTCACATGCATTACCCAGAGGGCTTTACAGCACAAGATGGTTCCCTGTGCTGCTGCAAGGTGAAACCTGCAAGATGTGGGCTCCAGTAAGAAGAGGGAATGTCCTAGACAAGGGGAAGCTGAGTTGCCTTCTGAGCGGATTAAAGTGCTTCTGATGAGACTGTGCTTCGTGCCAGGAAGTTGTTCAACCATCTTGGCTCCTTCCTCACTCTGGCTTCCTTTTTCACCTTGTGACTTCTACACATCTTTGCTTTTATCACTGGTCATGAAGCTCTTCCCCAGAGAGATACTCATCAGGTCACCCTGGATTTTCAGCCTTTTAAGTTAAACCAGGCATGGTGGCTCCTGTGTACAATCCTAGCACTCTGGAGCCTAAGAAAGAAGATCAGGAGTTCAAGGCCAGCCTGGACTACAGAATGGGTTTCTGGCCAGCCTGCGTTGATCTCAAGAACAAAAGTAAGACAGTGTGGCAGGGAAAGCCTTTTTAATCCTAGCACTCCAGAGGTAGAAGGATGTCTGTGAGTTCCAGACCAGCCTGGTCTGCACAGTGAGTTCCAGACCAGCTAGAGCTACATAGTGAGACTCTGTCCTAACAAAACAAAACAAAAAAGGCATAAAAATAGGCCAGTGAGAAATCTCAGTAAGTAAAGATGGTTGCTCCTATGCCTCATGACTTGAGTTTGATCCCTGGAGCGCTAAGGTTGAAGAAGTGACACGCTCAAGCTGTCCTCTGATAACTCGTTGCTTAGACCTTAGTTCACACACACATACACTAAGTAAATTTAACAAAAACTGTAACAAACCCACAAGTGTATGAACTAAATAAGCTCTTTATAAAGCTTCCAACTTTATCATTTGTGGTACTGAGGAATAAATCTAAGGCCTCAAGTATGCTAGGCAAGTATCCTACCCTGAACTATATCCCCAGCCCACAAATTTTATTAATCATTCAAAATACTGACTACTGTAGGACCTCAGAGTGCGTCCTGAGCCCAGGGATCACAGCTGTGAGTCGGGTGGGCTACAGCCTAAGGCCGGAACATGGCACGAGTGGCTCCCGTGGTGGGCCCTGGCAGGGCCAGGTCTCAGAAGAGGAAGGAGCCACAGCTTCCTCATCTCCACAGGGACTGTGCAGGAGGAGGGAGGTTATGTTACCCAGTCTTTACAGTTAGTCTTTCTGTGAGTTGGGGAGAAAGGAAGTCTGATGCTATGGAGAAGTAAAACAAAAAGCAAAACCACACACACTGAGAGACTGAGCTTGTGACTCGGCCATGATTTCCTCAGCTATTAAGTGGGATGAGCCCACCCCAGTGACTACTGAGGATTTAATGACATAAAACTGTGTGGTTGTGTTGCAAAACAAGTCCTCACTGAAAGGGGCGGTCTCCTAGTCACTAGTGTGTGTAAATCTCTGTGGAGGATTCTAGGACCTTCTTGTTTCTTTTGGTCAACCTCTAGGCATGTGTGGTATTTCAGAGGCCACTTGGTTATCGGCCTGTGCTCAGCAGAGCAGTCACCTACCTGTTCCCCTCTCAATAAGCGCCAAGTAGTAGAGATTGGTGTCCCCAGCCAGTCCTGCTTCTACGATGTCCTTGGTGAAATGCAGCTCCTAGAACAGAAACCAGTGTGAGCTGCTGCACTGATGGCAGGGTGGGGACAGGAGCTGATGGTGACATGGTCATAGGGGCTGCAGTTCTACCTACCATGTAATCTTCATGGGCAATTATCACCCACTTTACCAGGCGAGAAACAACCTTGGCAGGGAAGAGGTACTGGCAATCACTGGTAACTGGCACAATGCCATGTTCTAAAAGAGAGCAAGGCAGGAGGCATTACAGGGAGAACTCAAGTGCCACTGGGGGACCAGAAGCTGCCTGTGGCTTGCTGAGGGCTAAAGTAGCCTTGCCATTTGTCCAGTACATCTGGTACTCAGGAAGTTCTGCTCCTCACATGCCAGGAGTAGAGGCATCTCAATGACATTCACTTCATGCAGAGCTATGTGTCTGTGCTCAGACCCAGCACCTGCATTCACGGGTGCTTTATCCTTAATGCTGGCAATGTGTAGCAAAACCTAACCCTGCAGCCATAACTAGCATCAGTGCCTCTGCAGCAGGAACTATTAATTAGATCAAATAGCTGAGAGGGCTGTGTTTTCTCAGCTGACCTTGACAGAAAAACCAACTGCAACGTTCTGTGTCAGTTCCCTGCTGGTGTTTAAAAATCAAGTATGCCAACACAGGAAACACTATGTGAATGACAATCATCCAACCTTGGCAATGTTGGCAATGCTGAGTGAGGAGCAAGGCTTGAGGATGGGTGATGCTGTACTAGAGAGCAGTGTCCTTATGGAACCAAAGAACTGGCCTGGAGGTGGGGAAGGGGGGTTTGTTTTCAGATGGATCCTGGAAAACCAATGCCTAGCTTGTCAGTAATTTTGTTGTTCTTGTTGGTTTGTTTTTGTTTGTTTGTTTGTTTTTTTGTTTGTTTTTGAGACAGGGTTTCTCTGTGTAGCCCTGGCTGTCCTAGAACTCAGCCTGTCTGTAGACCAGGCTGGCCTCAAACTCACAGAGATCCACCTGACTGTGCCTCCGAGAATGCTGGGATTAACGGTGTGTGCCACCAAAGCCTGGCTGACAAAGATATGATTCCCTCCAAATCCTTAAACCCCACCCTACAAGTGTCTTATAAACACTCAGCAATTTTTTACTGAATAAACTAAAAGAAGCCATAAGGCCACTATCTAGGTCAATGGCTCATTATAATCACGTGGGAGCTTAGAAGACAATCCAAGGGGCTCAGCTAAACCTTTGAAAGCACTATCTCAGAAGGTCTTAGGGATAATGGGGTGATCCCTGTGTAGGTACAATCAGTGAGCTGGATGTGAGCTCAATGAATACAGGGTGCCATCATTCCTCCCCTCAGGCTCTACGGGGTACCAGCAAGAATTAGACTCTCATTAGATACCTGGCAAGTGCATATGAATCAGTGATGCATGGATCTAGGATAGGCTGCCTTGATGAACCTGTGAACTTGTGCAAATGACTCTGGTGTCCTGAGAGGGCTGACACAGAACTGATGACTCTGCAGGGAGCTCAGACCTCTGTCTGAATGGGCCTGCAGCTCTCCCCACTGGCCCTATCATCCGCTGCTCAGTAAGGCCAGGAACACGGGTCCCTTTGATCTGTAATCAGGATTTTCAAGTTCTGAGGGAAAGGATGTGGTTTTTGTTCCTATGTTGACTGAGTGGTTGTCAAGTCTTAGTCCCTGCCCCAGCTTACCCAGAGATGCAAACTGCTTGTGGAGAGCCAGGCGGGACTGCACCCTGGTCTTCAGCAGTTTCATGGTGGTCTCCATGTGGCTGGCGCTCTGTGAGTGGTCAGCAATCACTGTGTGCTAACAGTGAATAACAATTAGGATACACATGAAAACTCCCCCTTCCTACCTCTAAGGACTTCCATCTCTCCTGGGACCGACCAGGCTGCACAGACATGTCCCAAGACGGGTGCTATTTGGGAATGGCAGAGTTTACCCACTATAACAGGTCAAGAACACAAGATACTGGCAAGAACACAAGATACTAGGGTTCCCAATAGGCTGTGATTAGCTCCTGAAAAAAGGAAGGTTTCTAAGGTGTCTACCCTGGGATTCTGCCCTTACTTATACCATCCTTACTTATAGCATCCTTGTACATAAGTTCAAGGGCAGCAAAAGCTGTAGCTGTGCCACATCAGGGGCAAAACCGAGTTATCTTTGGTTTAGGTGGCTATGAAGCTCATAGGGAAGACCAAGTAATTTCAACACTTGAAGACTAGCTAAGGAATTCTAGTGCCTTGAGTGGATGGAGGTCAGATCACAGCATCAAAGGAAGATATTTTGCTAGATCAAAACCCTATGAAGCTATCAGAGGCCTTTCTGGAATCTGTCCACAAAGAGGAGAGGTACACCCCCTCAGACAAGGAAGCAGAGACAGAGTACACACCTGGGGCTGCTCTTTGGGGAAGTGGAGGCCACCCAGCTTCTGTACCCACAAATAGGGGTGACCTAACTCAAGTACATAGTCTTTCAAAGTCAGGATGCTGAAAAAAAAAAAAAAAAAAAAAAAGACAGAGTAAAATAATTGTATGAGTTGGGAATGAGCTCAGGAGCATGGCCTTCATACTTCATACAAGGCCCTATGCTCAGTCCCTAGGACTGAATGGCCCCCAGATATGGCCCTCCCCGCATCCCAGTCCCACAAGCTGAAGCTCCCTTACTGCGTAAGTTCCCTACCTGGAATTACAACTCTAATATTTACTTCTTTTTGCCTTGAAACCTTTCCTTCATCAAGCGATTCTCAAAACAACAGTGCATTGACCTCTTCACTACTCTACTCACTTACAGCTTTTAAAATTTTGAATACTCAAGAGAATTAAAGTGCATACATTTTATTGGGGTTTTTGTCTGTTTCTACTTTTATCTGCATGTATTTATGCTGAATTTATTCCCCTGCCATAACTTTTTTATTTCTTTAGAAATATCTTTCTTCTGTACAAACTCCTCTCCTGGCTTTGGAACAATATTTTTCCTTTTCAAGTGAGGATCATCTCAATATGGCAGGGGAGTCATATACAGATTAATACGCCAGGAGCTCTCTAAGTTCGTTGGCATCTGAGGTGCTTGGTTCACTGCAGAAGTCCAATGACTGGAGAATCTACATCTAAACCCTGCATTACACTCATTTGCAAGCATATGCAGCGAAACTTCAGCACTCTTTTGGCCACTGACCCTGTGTCCAGCGCCACTGTTTGGCCCAGCCGTACTACTGATTCCACCATTATATCCTACAAAGTGAACATGACGATTTGAACCTCTTGAGTTGTATCATTTTGTAGGGTTTTCTGGGTTAAGAGAGTATCGAACCATCTTCATGGGTCACCTCAGACTACTTCTGCACATTTTATTGTTGATACTGCCCCCACCCCTTTTTTGTCAGTACTAGGGATCTTACCCACCACACTACCACAGAGCCACATCCCTCACCCTGGAGTCCCTATATTTCCCACGTTTTCTTCTTTCCATGATATCCCTTTGTCTTCTGCGCAAGAACAGGAAGATGTCTCCTGTAGCCCCAATGTCCTCTGGGGAACCTCTGGCCCTAAAAGGTCACCAGTGTGGTCTGAACTACCAGATACAGACATAAAATCAAGGAAAGTTGGAAACCCTGTATACTCACCCAACTTTATCAAACTGATACTGATTAGCTGGATTTGGAGTTTTCTTTCCATGATCTCCTGGATACAAGCAGCTCAAGACCGAGTCAGGAGACAGTAAGTCTCTGCAGAAGAAAAGACTGCAGTGAGAATGCTGGCTAACACGGTGCTTCAAAGTGGACCTGGGCATTGGAGAGAGGTGATGTACCCTCAGCTCTTACCATGTCAACCACCATCTTTTTTTTTTTTTTTTTTAAGTCTTTATTTTGGAAACAAGGTTTCTCTGTGTAGTCCTGGCTGTTGTGAAACTCAGTGTGTAGATCAGGCTGGCCTTGAACTTAGAGATCTACCTGTCTTTGCCTCCAAGTGCTGGGATTAAAGATATGCACCAACCACACCTGGCTCTACCACCCTCTTGCACAGAAGGTTTTCTGTGAGCCAAATCCTTCATGTGCTTCAAGCCCATGGACTCTCCCAACACTATGAAGCAGAAAGGATTATCATCCCATTTCTCAAGGTACAAACTCAAGGCTTTGAAAGGTGGGCTACTGAAGCTCGTGATGCCAGCAAGGCTGGCAGCCGAAGTTCACACTCTCTGATCAGAAAGAACAGCATTTTTTCTTTATTTTGTGTGCACTGTGGCACACTGAGGATAATTTTCAGTAGTCACTTCTTGTCCTCTATCTTACTATGGCAGGTCTCTCCTCCTGCCTGGTACAGTACATTCCAAGCAAGCTGGGCTGAGAAGCTTCTAGCTGATTGCTGAGCCCCAAACTCCCACCTCAATGGGATAACAGGTGCAATCACCATCAGTGCCGGGAATTGAACGCAGGCCATCAGCCTTGCATCCCAAGTGCTTTTCCCAATAAGCCATCTCCCTGGTTCTTGAGAACTTAACTCTTTTGTATTTTGCTTTGTTTTGCTCTATTATCCCTTCCAGAATTATATAGTGGGGCTGAGATGATAACCCAGTTGGTAAAGTGTTTGCTGCACAGCATGATAGCCTGAATTCAACGTCCACCATCCAAATAAAAATCCATGTAGAGCAGCACACAACTACAGTCCCTGAGGAGGTAGAGACAGATGGATCCCTGGGCTTTTGGCTAACCTGTCTAAACTCCAAGTTCAGTGAGACTTTGTTTCAAAAGTAAGGTGGAGAATGACTGAGGAAAATACCTAATGTGGAACCTCTGACCTCCATACACATACACCTGAACATAAGCACACACACATATACAAATTATCTGGAGGCCAAGCACTATTTTGGAGGAGCAAAGCCACATGAAGTTAGAAATAGAAATAGTGCCAGAAATAAGTACAACAATAACTTTACATGCACAATTAAATGTTTTGTTTTTCTGCAGAGTTGGACACTGAGCACAGGTCCTTGGACACACTAGATAAGCACCATGTTTTGAAGCGATTTCTCTACACTGTACAAATGGAAAAACAGAATGTACATTTGTAGTGTATGGTGTAGCAATTTGACAAATTAATTCAAGGAGCAATGATCAGAGTACTTGGCATTTCTACCCCTTTAAACCTACTTAGTCTTTTGGAGATATGATCTTACTCTGTATCTTAGCCTGGAATTCTACACAGCCTAGGCAGACCTTGAATCCAAGAAGCAGGATGATCTCTGTGAGTTGGAAGCCAGCCTGGTCTACATAGCAAGTTCCAGACCAGCTAGGACTACACAGTAACCTCCTCTCAAAGAAATAAAACAAAACAAAAAACGGTCCTAGAATTGTTCAGTGAAGACCTGATGGATATGTGGAACTTAGAAGAAACAAGCTCTGGACTCCCTCTGCTGGGAACAAGGTTAACTGCACCTAGCACACCCTCCCGCAGCCCAACACTACTCCCTAAAGGCAGAAGAGGCATGAACACAAAGTGCAGGCTCTAAGCACAGGGTCTAAGGCCAGGAACTCCTTTCATCTGGCGGAATAGAAGGGATAGGAAGAGCTCCACTCCACTAGGCACCAGAGTGGAGCCTTTCTGAGCCTCAGTGTTCTTTCTCCAGCTGACAGCAGGACCAGGTCAGGCAGGACCAGGAGTACTAAGTCAGAGCAGTGATCCCCTACGTGTAGGCCAGTTTACCCAGGTCGTTTCTGTCCTCTGTTCTTCCTAGTCTGGACTACAGGCCATGACTACCAAGGTCAGGGGCTTGCTGGAGCTGCTGTGGCTGCCTGTTTACAGTCCTCCACTTACCACCAAGTTAAGGACTTCCTGAGCTGGAAAACAAAACCCTGCCACCTTGGGACAGAAACAGAAGGGCCAAAATTTGTCAATATGGTCATGTCTTCCACACTCATTCATGTATTTTACTGCCTGCAAAAAGCCTGCAGCTCTGCCCTACACACTAAATATGCTGTTATCACTGGTTTTATCTGCTGTGTAGTAAGAGTTCTCACATACACAACTCAGAGAACGCTTCTAAATCTCGGTGAATGCCAGGACTCCCACAATGTGGGAACACACTAACAGAAGTCAACATGGCAGAGGACCCTCTCTCAGCCAGAGGGAAGACGGAGAACAGGCGCTCTCCCCTCATCCCCGACCCATGCCCCATCCCTATAGTGCCTTCCCCATACCCTGCACTGATGGGGGTGATGAGCTCCATGGCGGTTGTCACTTTGGCTTTCACGGTCATGATGTTGAGGTTCATGAGATAGTAGAAAGTCAGATGAAGCACACTGTTGTCTGGAGGATCAGGAAAAGAGCAGCGCATTTATGAATCAAGCACAGAGGCCAGGCGAGGTGGTGCATGTACTGAATCCCGGCACTTGGAAGGCAGAGGCAAGGAGATCTCTAAATTGAAGGCTACATAGCAAGTTCCGGGACAGACAGAAATACTATAGAGAGACCCTGTCTCAAAAGAACAATAAAAACAAAAACATCATTCCATGTAAAATGAAAATGGCCAGTGAGACAGTTCAGAGAGTAAAGGCACTGGCCACCTCATAGTCTCAGCCCAATTCTTGAGACGCGCATGGCACAAAGAGTCAATTCCCACATGCTGTTCTCTGACTTCCACAAGCTGCTGCAGTGGTATGTGCGAACACACACACAATAAATAAATGTTAAAAAAAATTTTTTTTTAGGGGCTGGAGAGATGGTTCAAAGGTAGAGCAATGACTGCTCTTCCAGGGCATGCAGGCAGAATACTGTATAAATAATAAATAAATCTTCAATGGAACTAGAATTGGCTCTTTAAAAAAAATTTTTTTTTAAGGAGGAAAAACAGAAATAGAAGACTGAAATATTACAGGCAAAGAGTTTCTAGCTTACTGGACCCTTTGCACCAACAACTGACCAAGCTCTGAGGTACTGGGGGCATGAAGTGAATATAGTCAGACCTTTGCACTTCAGATCAATCAAGACTGACAGTGGGTGCCTTTTCAGCATCTCCTTGCGCTTGTCATCCAACTGAACCCCAAGTGTGGGTCGACGCCGCTTCTGGACAAAAGAAAGACCCAAGTATGAGTTATATTAATTGCCCCTTCGCATCTCTCTAACTCCCAGAGCCTCGGCACAGCTGCATGGGACCTTTTGCCTCAGCTGCCCAGCTGCCCTGCTCTTGTCCCAGCAGAACCTATTCTACCCTCCTCCTCTTGCTTTTAGGAGTGTGGTGCTTGAGAACATCAGCATGGCTGTGTGACATTCCCACAGCAGAAACAGGGCTCACCGTGGTCTGCTCCTCCTCCACATCAGAGTCGCTCTCATCATCTGAAGCCACACAGAGAAGGTAGAGAGAAGTGAGGTAACTGCAGAGGCTCCCTGATGACGAACCTCAAACACAGGGACTGAGGGGCCCACCCAGAGACGGTCCTTTGTTTGAGTTCCTTCAAATAAGTATTGAGTTAATTGGCTGCTTCTTACTTGGAATAGAAAACATAATGGAAAAAAAGAATGACTTAGAATCCCACCAGGTATATGTGTGTATGCGTGCATGTGTGTGTGAACACAGGCCAGAGTTTGTACTCAGAATGCACCTATCAATCATCTCTCCATTTTATTTTTGTTTTTTTTTTTTTTTGAAACAGAACCTATACAGTTCTAACTGTCTTAGAATTCACATTGTACTCCAGGCTGGCCTCAAACTCACAGAGATCTAGCTGCTTGTCTCTGCCTACTGAGTGCTGGATTAAATGAAGGCACCACCATATGCAGGTTTTGTTTAATTATTTATTTTTGAGGCAGTCTTTCACAAAGCTGGATATTCCAGTTAGACTGGCTGGCCAGGCAGCTCCTGGGATCTGCCTTTATCTACCCCCAGCACTGAAGTTAAAAGCATATATTATACTGTTTTGAGGCAGGGTTTCTCTGTATAGCCTTGGCTGTCCTAGACTTTGTAGACCAGGCTGGCCTTGAACTCACAGAGATCCACCTGCCTCTGCCTCCCCAAGTGTTGGGATTACAGGTGTGTGCCACTGTGCTGTCATAGCCAGCTTTTTTTGATTGTGGGGACTGGGGGCCAGAACTCAGGCCTTCATGTTTGTGCAGCAAGCACTTAACCTACTGAGCCATGTCTCCACCTTCCAGGGTGGTTTTCAAGGGTCTTTTAAATGTCTTTCTATGGAGCATAAAGCTATCTATTAGTAATGTGGTTCTAAGAACAGCATAAATAACAATGCAGGTATAGAGGGCTGCCGCATGCAGAAGATAAGACTGTTTTTTCATGGAATACACACAATGATTCTGATTCTATATGAGGAATTTTCCTTTCTGGGGACAAGTAGGGGTGACTGAAACTGGGTCTCAGTATGTTACACTGGATGCCCTGAAAATTGCTGTATTAACCAGTTTGGCTTTAAACCTATGGCAATGTTTCCTGCTGTCGCTGTCAGACTTCAGGGACCATCGTCATTAATCCATAATCAGCTTCCAGCTACCTTTTACAATGAGTCAAAAATGTTACCTGCTTCCTCAGGGTCAAGTGCTGGTGAGTACTAGTGAGTGGCAGGACTGAAATCCAAAGGCTGCATTTGGTGACTCTGGAAACTGAGTTCTCTTGGCCTATCCTAAAACTGACAATAAAGTCAAGCCTCCTGCTATACAGCATCAGGCCGGCTAGTTCTCAATGGACCAAGACCTTGGGAGTGATTTGGTATCCTTGGTGAGGTCTCCCATTTACCATGTTACCTTGGGAGTCCTCAGGGGGTTTGAAGAGAGCTTTGGCTTCATCCACGCTGCCTTCAATGGCCACAGACAACGTCTTATCTGGAGATGAGAAAAGGCCTATTGGAAAAACTGCTGGGAGGTTGCTGAGTCAAGCCGACTCAGCCCCTGGGCTTCTCCCTTCCCTGTCCCAGCTCTACTGGCTGAGTGTGAGGGCACCCTCTGTCCACACAAAGGAAGAAGACAGAAACTAAAGTCTTTTCTCTAGGGTTTGCTAAGAACAAATAATCCAGAGCACCGCTTCCCAGGTAAGCATCCCTGAGACTGGTGGAACCCAGGACACCCCACAGGACTCTCCCACCAGCTGTCCTAAGAAGCTCTCACCCAGAAGCTGGCACCATCCACATCCCAGAGATGATGGGTCACTCTCTGTAAAAAGTTCTGGATTCTGCATGTCACTAAGCACCTGAGCTGCCCTGGTCACTTCACTGGGCAGTGGAGAAGAGCAGGCAGGAACATGGATACTGCAAGCCTAGTCCCAGACCTCAATTCCTGTCCTATTCATTACTGAATTTGTGATGTGGAAGGTAATCTTACTGACCCGAAGCTCAGTTTCCATATCTATATAACATGTTGGGAAGCAGTAGCTGTTTTTTTGAGTGGCAGGAGGTTGATGGACTAAGGGCTACATTTTTAGCTACATTAGCTTTGAGGGTGAGAACTGTCACACAGGGTTAACATGCATAAGGCTGTGGCTTTGATTCCCAGCCCACAGAACAGAGAAGTAACTACACTCTTGAGTCTCACACCCATATGGAGCATAATGTTATTACGCCTACATAGAGGAACTTAGTGCCCATGCAGAAACAAACCCCACTCAGGAAACAAGCAGAGCAGAGCCACTTCAGGCTCACTGGACTCAGCTTGGCTCTCAAGCACTCAGTGACAATCTGCCCTGCTGTCCCATGAGCGGTCTACGGGCACGTCCTACTGCTGTGAACAAATAAGCCACACTCTACTTCCTCTGCCCTTTTCCCTGATGGTACTGGGGGATGGAACCCAGGACGTAAGCTATACCCCAACTCCTCCTTCTCTACCGTAAGTGTGGGAATGTCACAGAACCTCATACGATTTGCCTAACTACACTGTAAAGAAAAAAGACCCCCCCACCGACTGCCAACTACTGCTTTATATCTGGAAACAATATACAAACCACCCCATTCCAACCAAGCAAGCAAGTCACCCCAAGTGAGCACTGGAGACTGTCTTGGGGTCGAGCTCACCGCCCACATGCGGGACAGTCACCTGCCACAGAGTCAAGCCCTCACTACAACAGTCTTTTTAACAGTTTGCTCTTAAATCTAAGAAAATACAAGTGGGAACAGCAGAAGTTTAAACACAAGAGAAAGTTACTCACCCTGTCTAGGGGGCTGGGAGGAGGATTTCATATGAGCTGATGATGGCAACGGAAGAGAACAAAGGGGAAGGAGAAGGCGAGACGGACCAAGAAGACACAAGAAAAGACACAGTAATGTCTTGGTGCCATGGCTGGGACAAGGGCATGCACAGGAACAGTACATGTCTGCCTGATGCCATGGGATAAGTTATGAACAGGAAGAAGAGTTTAGTGCTAAGTGAGAGCTGCACTGGGGTAGAGCAAAAAAACTTTTTAAAAACCTTAGCAGAGCCACAGGCTGTCCTGAGCAGCTGAGGGTTCTTCCTCTCACTGGTAAGGCAACACAAAGTCATGCAGGCTACCTCAGGTATGTGAAAGCCTGGGAGTGTTGCCCAGGACCTGCATTCTCCAAGCACCCCACCCCAAAACACAACAGGAGACAGAGATCTACCTGTCCAGTGTTTCTTGATGGAGTGAGCACTGAGAGCTACACAGGCTGCCTGGGCACTGTACCTAAAAGCTGAACAGCCAGGCTCATGAAGATTCAAAGCTTTCATTCTGAAATGTCCATCACATTATTCAAGCCTCAGGCTAGCTGGCTTAGCAGCCACACTGAAGGTGCAAAGAGGAGGCAGCATCTGTCACCAGAGGGCTCTTGGGCAAAGCCGGGGAACTATCTGAGGAAGGCAGTCCTTTCTCACTATGGCTTCTCCCATAGTCCCCTCCTTGCCCAGCCCCCATACTCACCACAAGCCTGCCCGTATGCAGTGGCCTGCACAAACAGCACATAGAGGGGAGGTGGCAGGTGCCTGGCAGTCTCGTACTGCTTGTGTGCCTGGTCGAACGGCATGAACAGGTATTCTTGCACTGGCAGGGAAGCCTGCAAGCAACAGAGGAAGTTTTTAGTCTACCCACAAAGCTGCTTTGTGACTGACTAGCTTTTTATCTTTATCTTGCTGAACTGGAGACTGAGACCAGAGCCTTGCGCATGTGGGGCAAACATTCTATTACTGAGCTCTGTCATATAATAGTGACACATAACAAACCAGTGGGACTATGCTGAGACAAAAGCTCAAGATAAAAAAAAAAAAAAATCAAATGCATTTGTAACAGCAACAGAGCAAGAAAAGAAAATTATGTAAATGTGTCACTTGCACATTTCTAACATTATCAGAAAACATTAAGGGGCCGAGGTTGTGGCTTAGTTGCAGACAAAACAAGGGGCAGAGGGAATAAGGAAAGAGAAATGTATTATACTCAACATCACAAGTCCCTGATGAAATGAAAAACAAAACAAAACAAAAAACAGTGGGCCTGAGATGGGTCGGCAGGTAAAGGCACTCGCCACCAAGCCTGACCTGAGTTTGACCTCTGGAACACTCATGGCGGAAGGAGAAAACTGATTCCTGCAAGCTGTCCTCTGACTTCGTGACGTGTATACAACACACAATAAACAACCAAACAAATAAAAACTTTAAAGGAAACTAAAGCCAAATGGGACCCTCCAGACTAGCTTAGGACTAGAAGTGGCAGTTTTAAGCACGGGCAGGGATCCTGAGGGATCTGAAGCTCCGTGGGTGCTCATGGAATATCTAGCAGTCTGCATGATCACTCCAGGAATGGACTCAGAGGCTAGCAAAGCTAAATGCATGCACAGGAATCATCTACATGACCCAGCAGCTTTATTCCTAGGTATATATGCAATAGAAATATGTACAAGTGAGGACCAGAAATCATGTATGACAATACTCAGAGCCACATTATTTATAACAGACCTGAACTGGGAACTTCTGAAATCAAGTTATTACAAAAAAAATTCTTATCGCTTCTCGGCCTTTTGGCTAAGATCAAGTGTAAAAAAAATTCTTGATACTCAGAGAAACACAGGTAAGTTTCAAAAACATACCACTGAGAAAAAAAAACAATAAACAAAAAAACAAACCCTGACACAGAGTTAATGAGTCTATTTAAATACAGTTCAATCCAGAGAAAATCCAGTCTATGATGATAAAAGCCAAAATAATAGTTACTTAGGATGCAAAATAAGGTTACTATAGTGTCTGGGAGCTGGAAATAAAAGCAGCACGGGCTGGCTCAGCATTTAAGAACACTGCATTTCTATATGACCTGGGTTCTATTTCCAGCACCCACATGGTGGCTCACAACCACCTGTAACTCCAGTGCCAGAAAAATCCAATCTTGTGCCTTTTGAGGGTACCAGGCACATGTGGTACATATATGAGGCAAAACACTCATACACATAAAATTTTTAAAAATTAAGTTCTTTCTCTTGATTTGAGTGGTTATAGAGATGCATTCACTCAGTAAACAGTCATCGGCTGTACATTTATGAGTTGAATACTTTCTGCATGTAAAGGTATTGGCATCAGTTTTTGGTGCTGGGGAATGAGCCTAGTACTTCTGTATACGAAGCATGCAATCTACCACTGAAATGCATCCCAACCCCCAAAAAATTAAGACTTTTTTTTTTTCCTAGACAGGGTTTCTCTGTGTAGCCTTGGCTATCCTAGAGCTCACTTTGTAGACCAGGCTGGCCTCAAAACTCACTGAGATCTGCCCGCTTCCACCTCCCTGAATGCTGGGATTAAAGGCATGTGCCACTATGCCCACCTTAAAATTAAGACTTTAAAAATATGTTTAAATTTAAGCCAAGGATGATGGTGTATACCTTGAATCTTAGATTTTGGAAGGCCGGAGAATCTCTGTGAATTTGTGCTATGTAGAGAGACCCTGTCTCAAATAATAATAATAATAATAATAATAATAATAATAATAATAATAATAATAATAATA